GTATCGAGTCATTTTTTTGTTTTTTTTTTTCACGAACAATTTTAGGCATTATAAATAGATTCAATAGAACACATACAACTATTTTTTGATATTTTTAATTTCATTGTACATCAAGAATAAATAAACCAACTTGCTTACATAAATCTTGGAGATAAAATTAATGTTCTGTTATTTTTTTTTTTTTATATATTTACATTAAATACGTAAAGTAAAATTATAATAACCTGCAAAAATTTAGATATTTATTAAGCCTTAATAACATAATTTTTACTTAAAATACGTTAAACGTAATATTAGGATGCTTTTTATTTAATGCCAATTTTGCCTTAAAGCAGTATTAAATTAGATTTCTCTAAACTGTAAAAAAAACCAGAACTAAGAAATGTAAAGTAGTATGATTCTTTTTATATTGTGCCCAGATTTGGCTTGAACATGTTTTATACTTACAGAAATGTTTATATTAGTTAATATTACTTCAAGAAATTAAATAATTATATATAAATTGATTTTTACTGGCTGATCATACTAGATAGAAACTACTTAGCAAAAGGATATCAATAATGTTCGAAAAGCTATATCAAGTTATTCAATTAGTGAATTGTTCTTATAAAAGGGAGGATTAAAAGAGAGGATTAATAATTAACTTACAACAGAAACAGAAGCCAATACTGAAGAAATTATTGGAATTAATACCAAAGAAATAATTGAAGTAAATCAAGAAATTGAAGAAAGGAACCATGCTGAACAGAATCCCAAAAAGTTGTCGAAAAAGGCCCTATAGGATCAGATTATAAAGCGCGTCAGAGTGAAAGACTAAAGAATGAACGCAAGGTTAATTATGCTGAAAGCTCACGAAAAAAATTCAAAGCTACGTGAGTATATTATATTTTCGTTATTAAATAAAATGTATACAGTATTAATGCTTAATTTGTAAATAGAAATTGGAATAACAGGGGAATTAACAGAATTGATAAATAAAAGCCTGTTAATAATCTAAAAAGCGACATTAAGTCAACAGGATATTATTGTACAATAGCTTTTGGTAGCATTAATATTTAGAATTTTCTTATAATAAATCTTTAATTTTGAAATAAAATTTTTTTTATAATATCTTTATAACGTATAAATTTGCACCGATCATCTGATTGGCTGATGTAAAAATAAATAGCTGAACTTTAATTGGATGAGAAATGAGCTATACTAAATAGTTTATTTTCTTTTTTGAAGAAACATTTACTATCAGTGTTAGCTTAACCAGACCAGTTTGACCATTTGACCAATTTGACCAATAAATTTTTGGTCGACCACTAATTTACCCAACACTGTAATTTACTATGTATTTTAGAAATATTTTTAGCATCTCTAGAAAATGAACTTATTTGTAAGTGTTCAACAAAATATATTTCGGAAGTATTAATTTTATCATAATTCACTGAAACTCAGTTCATTATCTGACAGCACCTTGATGTCATAGGAGAATAAACTGAGTTAAAATTAGACAAAATTATATTTTTAGAATTTGTGCTAAAGTTCACCATTAGCAAGATAGTTATTATGTGTTTCAACTAATGATTCAATGATTTTTTTGATGCGTGATTCCTTCTTTGAATTAGTTATTCATGTGCAAGTGACATTTAAGTTGGCAGTTAAAAAAGGGCAAATTGCATTGCATGAAAAAAAATAAGATTAAATAAGAATAAACAAATTTTATTAAGGTATTTGCTTTTCATTCGTAAGTTAAGAATTAGCATATTTAAAATATACAAATTAAATTCTTATAAGATTAAACACATAATACTAACATAATTTTTTTAACTATGATAAAAATCGATACAAAGAATTTAAGGAATTCTGTCATTATTTTTTTGTGTTAAAATTTGCTAATTGGTAATTACCACATGTTTTTAATAATAATTCATTTATTATTGGTCTATTCCACTTTCAAAAAAGGAGCAAAGCATAATGCAAAAAAAAAAATTAAAAACAAAAATTAAGCAATTGTTACAATTATCATTAAATTGTATAAGCGTTCTTTGTAATATTTACTAATTCTAATATATTTTTCCCTTTAATGTTATGGAATTCAGGGAATTCCAGATTTCTCAATAATTCTTTAATTAGGAAGTTACATTCGTTATTCGCTTTCACTTGCACTGAGAAAATAATTTGCATTTAGCTTGACTTCAATCATCTCATTTGGCGTAATATTTGTTACCCACTTTCTCAAAATAGAGCGTAAATTAATACGTATTGACAATTTTTTTATTAATTCAAGCTAGTGATGCCTGACAAAACCATGTGATGCTAATTGTCACATGCTACAATATATAAATAAATTCTAATTTTTATAAGTAATAACATGTGACAATTAGAAGCACATGGTTTCGTCCGAGCCTTTAAATCATTACTCTTCCATTTATCTGTAGTTTTCTCTAATGTAATTGCATTGCCCAAGTGAAGAAAAACTAAGTAGTATTGCACAACTTAGCAATGAACAATAACATTATGCAAAGATTTAAATAACTGCTATAAACAAACTATCATAGGATGGCTAAGTATAAGCTATTAACGTTAAATAAGTTTAAAAATTTTAAAATTTTTATGATTCTTAATTATAACCATTTATTTTTCTTAGCTCTAACCTTTGATCAAAGATTTATCGGAGAGTATATGGATGTTCTTATGGACAGTAATTCGTGATATAACGCTAAATATACCACTCCTAAGCTACTGCTATCCCTAAATAGACAATAGAAGCCTATCACTATGGAGACCTTTTTTAAATACAGTAGACCTAAAAAAATCAATGATAACGACATATTACGAAAACACGTGATAATGATTTTTTCCACACAAAGGATCATTGTGTAACTGATGTCATGATTATCATAAAAGGGGATGATAACGACACTTGCATCTTTAGAAAATCGAAGAATGATATCAAAAAAAAAGAATCTATTTTCTACTCCGATTAGGCAAAAACCTTCATTAACTAGCCCATCATCATTAGATTCTTACAACTCACTCTCTTCGTCCAATTTAAGCACTCTTTCTAGGACAATACCAGGATCAAATTCGAATGAAATGGATCATGTTTTATATTTCACGAAACCTTACACTGAGTAGAAGCTAATAAAATTTCTAAAAAGAAAAAAATACAAACAAGCCCA